AAAAATTGATAGGTGGATAGGTGGGTGGGAGGAAGGAATGGTAGAAGAAAAGAAGGGAGGAAGGGAGGGAAGGAAGGAAGTGTGGGTGGATGGATGGATGGATAGAGGGTGGGTGGATGGAAAATGGATGGGTAGGTGGGTGAATGGATGGGTAGAAGTGAGGGACATAGGGAGGGAGGATGGGTGGGTGGGTGGGTAGATGGATGGAAAATGGGTGGGTGGGTGGGTGGATGAAAGGAAGGAAGATAGGAAAATGGATTGATGGATAGGTGGGTGGAAGGAAGGAATAGAAGGAGGAAAGAAGAGAGAAAGGATGGAAAGGATGGAAGAAGGAAGGAAGGGTGGGAAAGAGAAAGAGAGAGAGAGAGAGAGATGGGTGGGCAGGTGGGTGGGTGGTCCCTCCATCCATCCGTCCATCCATCCATCCACCCATTTCAAGTGTACCCGGTTGTAGCCTGGCAAATTCTGAGAACTGCAGTCCCAAAACATTGGAGAAGCAACTTGGGGGAGATTGATCTATCCAATAAACAAACCAAGACCGTGACTCAAGAAGGAATTACTCACATCAAAGATCTCGAAGCCAGCAATATCCAACACCCCAATGAAATACTGTCGGGGCAGTTTGGTTTCCAGAGTGCTGTTGATTCTCATGACCATCCAGGTAAACATCCTCTCATAGACAGCCTTGGCCAGCGCCCCCGTGGAATAGTACACCTGTTTAGGAAAAGGACATTATGGGGAGAGGAAGCTTCCTTCTGTCCTAAATTCTCTGATAAAGTTCAAGAGAACTAGACTAAACTGGAATGTAGACTAGAGAAGATTAGAAAAGAAAATATAGACTAGACTTGACAATATAAAACAGAATAGACAATGTAGAATAGAATAACTAGAATAGACTGGGAAATATAGACTAGAAAAGATTAGACCAGAGTAAAAAATATAGAACAGAATTGAAAATATAGAATAGTATATGGAGTAGAATAGAATAGAAAATATAAAACAGAACAGAACAGAAAAGAAAATATAGAATAGAATAATTAGAATAGACTAGACCAGAATAAAAAATATAGAACAGAATGGAATAGAAAATATAGCATAGAATAGAAAATAGAATGGAACAGACAACAGAATAGAATAGAATAGAGTAGAGTAGAGTAGAGTAGAGTAGAGTAGAGTAGAGTAGAATAGAATAGAATAGAATAGAATAGAATAGAATAGAGGGAAGACAGTAAATGGGGGGGAAAAGAAAATATGGAAGGGAAAAGAGGACAGTGAATGGAATGGAATAGAAAATAGAATAGAATAGAATAGAATAGAAAATAGAATAGAAAATAGAATAGAGAATAGAATAGAGAATAGAATAGAATACTTTATTGGCCGAGTGTGATTAGACACCCAAGGAATTTGAATTAGACCCACAAGGAGACAATCTTGAGTTCTGCTTGGGTAGGTGGCCATAAAAACATCTCACCCCATTAAAAAAGAAAGAAATTATATGTGCACCTTGAGTTTGAATGTGAAAACTGGGTCCTCCTCATTTCTTTTTTCTTTTGTGGGTCGGTTTTTCTCTCTAGGCAGGTGGGATTCTTACCTGTTGGACATTTTGCCCTTTGGTGACGTACTCGTTCCCCACTTTGACCCTCGGGTGGCAAAGCCCCTTGAGCAGGTCTGCAGAGTTCAGGGCCATCAGATATGCCGACTTGTCAGCTTCTGCAAGAGCCATGGAAGTTGGGTTAGGAGATGGGGTGGACAAGTTGGAAAGAACTCAAGTGGTCGACGCCAACTTGATGTAGTTCAAGACCCAGTCCATAAAACATGCTTTTAAGTGGGCAGGCTGAATTATTATTATTATTATTATTATTATTATTATTATTATTATTATTATTATTATTATTACCATGTTTCCCCCCAAATAAGACCCTGTATTATATATTTCTTGGCTACCAAAAAGGGCACTAGGTCTTATTTTCAGGGGATGTCATCCACTGATTAATCTCATTGGCGCGCATCGCCCCTGGCCTGCTTTTCGCTGTCAGCTTTTTCTTCTACGGCCGGCAAGTCTTTCCTGAAGGCCTCTGCAGCCAATAACAGAGCTCCAGAAGAAACGGGCCAGTAAGGCAGGTGTCGGGGTGTGCGAGGCCTGGCTACAACTGTCCAAAGGTGAGTAGTAGGGCAGTTCCATCCTCCCATCCCCACCCTAGCTTAATTTTTACCCGTCTACTCTGGAGTGGGCGGGATCTTAATTGGGGCTTATTTTGGGGGTAGGGCTTATATTGGGTGCACATGTAAAAATCAAGCTAGGACTTCCTTTCAAGGTAGGTTGTATTTTGGGGAAAACAGAGTATTGTTTTTTTATACATGTTTTGGAGAACCGAAACATTAAGCTGCATGCCTTAATGTCTATGGAGATTCTCACCATCCAGGTCACCCTTTGCCTTTTAAATGCAGATGGAATGATGAATCTAGTCCTCATGGGTTTGTTCTCCTAGGTCCATGATGGCACCTATGGCATACGTGCCACAAGCGGCACACAGAGCCACTTCTGCCGGCATGCAAACTGCAGGCAAACGTACCTCACTGCGCATGCGCGCGCCTCGCAGCTGATTTTTTTTTTGGCTGGTTTGAGGCCTTTTTCGGCTTGCCAGAGGTTTGAAAAAAAGCCTCTGCAAGGCTTTTCAGGTCGAATAATACGCCTTTTCGTCACTACCTGTAATACTGGAAGTGACGAAACTGGCACATTATTCGACCTGAAATTGGAGGATTACCCGTATCCTTTCAATAATTTTATCATTAACGGTGCATTGATAAACCTTGATATATTATTTCTCGTCGTTGTAATTTGGGGGCCGGGATGATGTCTTCCCCTCACCTTCAGTCCCATCAGGCTCAGCCTGTTCCTCTCGTTGCTTCTGCTTGAATTTCATGTTCCCGTAGTGCATGATGGCCCCCGTCAGCTTGTAGATGGAATTTTTCTCCTCTTGGGTGAACCCTAAGATGTCAAAGGCATTCTGGGTTTGGGGGGCAGGGGGGGGAGAAAAAAACGGAATGAGTTTTTTTTTCTCCAAGCTCAACCAAAGGAGCTCGCTGTAACTACATAGACAAAACAGGCATTAAGAGTTGTTAACCTAATCCTGCGTAGCTTTTACTCCGGTAATATCGCGCTGCTAACTAGAGCATACAAAACGTACAGCTCATCTGTCTGGAACCTGCACGACATATCAGATATTAACACAGTTGAGAAAGTCCAGAAATATTTCACGAAAAGAGTTCTCCGCTCCTCTATTCGTAGCAGAATACCTTATGCCACCAGACTTGAGATTTTAGGCTTAGACAACCTAGAACTATGCCACCTTCGATCTGAATCTAAGTATAGTACATAAAATTATCTATTGCAATGTCCTACCCGTCAAGGAATACTTCAGCTTCAACCACAACAATGCAAGAGCACACAATAGATACAACCTGAAGGTAAACCACACCAAACTCGATTGCAGGAAATACAACTTCAGCAACAGAGTGGTCAATGTCCAGAATACACTACGTGACTCTGTTGTTATATCCTTAAACCCCAAAAACTTTAACCTCAGACCGTCTACTGCTGACCGCATCCCATTCCTAAGAGGTCTTCAAGGGGCATGCATAAGCACACCAATGTGCCTACCATCCCTGTTCTAATGTTCCTTTTTATTAGTATCCATTTCATGTATTCATAATCATGTTTATACTTATACCTGTTATTTAATACTTGCTTGACAAATAAAATAAATATAAATAAAAAAAATTAAACAAAACCAACCAGCTATTCAAATTCCAACAAATAGATCTCTAAACTTGGATTTCTCAGATATAGGTTGGACTACAAGTCCCATGAGCTTGGGGAAAGTTCAGGGTGCAATACCGAAGTTTAAACATCTTGAACTACCTACCTGGACAACATGAAGACCTGTGAACTTCAACTCCCAGAATTCCCCAGCTAGGCACCCTGGATGGAGAATTCTGGGAGTTGAAATCCACAAATCTTAAGTCTTCAAGTTGTTGAGGTTCAAAGTCCAATAGTCTGAAACTTCTTGAACAAGGAGTATCCAACCTGAGCAACCTGAAGTCCAGTGTTCTTCAACTCCCAGAATTCCCCAGCTAGCCACCCTGGATGGAGAATTCTGGGAGCTGAAGTCCATAGGTCTTCAAGTTGTCTAGGTAGGACACCTCTGACTTAGAAGCCAAGTTGGAGAAACACTTAGAATATTACTCACGTCAGTTGCTAACAGTTCCTCAGCATCATCAATGGAAGGTACCGTAGTCTCTCCTTGGGAGATGAAGGCGTAGTCGTAAGGATTGTTGGTGACCAACAGCATATCTGGAAAGAGAAGGATGGGAGAAGTCGGGCGGTTACACAACATGGCCAACCTTCTCTTCCTAAATGGTTTATTCCATCACCAGAAGAGGACAAGGGCCGTTCTGAAATGGAAAGGAGGTGTTAGGAATATAAGTCACCTAACAGGTATTTGAGTTAGAAATATATAAACCAGGATAGACATTTTAATACTGTCTCTTTAAGAGCATGCTAAAAACTGCAATTAGGTGTGGTTGGCCATAAGATGGAGCCAGAAACCTGGGTTGTTTTAGTCTTAGTCTGAGTCTCAAAAGAGAGTATGTCTGAGTATCTCTGTTGTATCTGAGTATCTTCTGTTGGAAAGTATCGCCGTTGCTCCATTTTTCCTAATTGACTGATATTACTGGATTTGATGTAAATCTGATACTGAACTGTTTTTTGACACTGGAATTTGATATTTCGATTATCCCTGGATTGAAAAACTAACTGATTTACCTGTGAATGACTTTTGGACTTCTTATTTTGGACTTTGCTTAAACCTTTCTGGAAGTAAAAACCTATATTTACTGTACAGTGTATCTGTGTGCTCTGTGTCTATTATTCCAACACTATTCTCTATACATCTCCCTGTATGCACTCATTCTCCTAACGGGGAATTACCTCAACAGGAGGCTTCACCACTGCTGTAAATCTCAGAACAGGTCCCAACGAAACAATGAAAAAACCCTGTCGTGCAAACAATACACTTCAAGGATGCAGAAAGGAGGATGGAAACTAAGAAGTCAACCAAGCTGCCCTTCGTTCTTAAGAGAGAAGGTCTGGGTGAGGAGCATGATCTTCGACAATCATAGCCACCCCCTGCATTTCACAGGTGACACCATTCTAGAGGACAAGTGTCCCCAAAGAGAAGACAAGGTATTGATAGAAGAGGAGGAGGAGGAGGAGGAGGAGGAGGAGGAGGAGGAGGAGGAGGGGGGGGGGGGAAACGGGGGGCAGTGGGGTCCTTGATGCTCTCTGAGCTTGGTGGTTTTCTTGCAGATGTTTCATGACCCAACTAGGTGACACCATCAGTACTAGAAAGCAGTGGGATTTGTGGAGTCGAGAAAAAGAGAGGAGTGGGAGGAAGAGAAGGACAAGTAAGAGGGGAGGAGGAGGAGGACTGTGGAGTCCTCTGAACTTGGTTGTTTTCTTGCAGACGTTTCATGACCCAACTAGGTGACATCATCAGTGCTAGAAGGGAGTGGGGTTTGTGGAGTGAAGGAGAAAAAGAGAGGAGTGGGAGGAAGAGAAGGAGGAGGAAGAGGTGGTGGTGGAGGAGGAGGAGATGATTGTGGAGTCCTCTGAGCTTGGTTGTTTCCTTGCAGACGTTTCATGACCCAACTGGGTAACATCATCAGTGCTAGAAGGGAGTGGGGGCTTGCTCTCCAACAACCAAGCTCAGAGAGCATCCAAGACTCCACAAGATCAGGTACCTTGCAATTCATGTGATATAGAGGATAATCTCCCTTACCAACCGGGGTATGTAATGATGGAGACAGAGGAACTTAAGACTAAGGTGAGGACAGCTTATCTCAAGGCACCAAACAGCCCAGACAAGTCTTGTTCTTAATGAAGTTCCACCATAATAATGGAATGTGCAGAAATGAATAGATTGACAGTGGCAATTAGAGAACAGGAAGAAAGAGATTATTATGAAATTTGGAATTTATTTTATGAATGGCTGGATAGAAGAGTAAGAAATTGAAATATGTAAGTATAGTATAATATACCATAACTGGTAAATGATTGAGTTAGATAGAGTAAGAAAATGAATGTGAAATATACCCTTGAAAGACAATAACTACAATGTTAATGATAATATAATAATTGACAAATGTGATATAAAATACTGATTAGAATGATTATAAGCATAAACAAGTAAGATATGTATGATAATGTTATTATGTGCACAAAATATATGTACCTAACTGACACACTGTTGAACAGAAAGATGGTTTATTTTTTTTTTGTTTTTGTTTTGGTTATAAAAATAAAAAACTTTATTATTAAAAAAGGAAGTGTTCCACCACAACTAATTTGAACGGGTGAAGAGAGACTCGATTCAACTCCTCCTAAGTCAAGAAGTAACCAGAAGAGATTACCCAAGGTGCTTTTTTTTTCAAGAGGCAACTGGACTTTCTGGTTTTTTTTCGAAGACATTTCGCTTCTCCTCCAAAAAGCTTCTTCAGCTCTGACTGGATGGTGGGGAATGAGTCAATCAGAGCTGAAGAAGCTTCTTGGAGGAGAAGCGAAATGTCTTCAAAGAAAAACCAGAAAGTCCAGTTGCCTCTTGAAAAAAAAAGCACCTTTGGTACAACCTTGACCTGGATGACTGAGGATCTCCATGGACATTTAGAAGAGAGTGTTCAACTCAGCGAGACGAAGGCTCATCAACCTAGCCTGAAGGAAGCCTTCCCGACTTCAAAAATATGTGAACTCATCAGATCTGTACAAGGTCAAGATGGAAGAGATGTAGTTTATCGAACTAGTTTGGACAGAATCGTCTGATCCTCAAAAACAACGGACCAAAGTCTGGGATTACCTGAAAGGAAATTTCAGTGAAATAATAGAAGAATAGAATGGGAATGGAATAGGATATAGAAATAGAAATTAGAATAGAAATTAGAATAGAATAGAATAGAATAGAATAGAATAGAATAGAATAGAATAGGAGCTAAACCATATCATTTGAAGATAAGTGACTTTCAGTCTCTTCTTAAAAACATCCAGTGACGGAGCACCCACAACTTCTGGTGGCAAGTAGTTCCACTGGTTAATTGTCCTCACTATTAGGAAGTTTCTCCTTAATTTAATTAGTTTCCAACCGTTGTTTCTTGTCCTGCCTTCAGGTGCTTTGGAGAATAGCTTGGCTCTCTCTTCATTGTGGCAGTCCCTCAAGTACTGGAATAGTGCTATTATCATCTTCTTTTAAGGATCCTTACGGGGTGGAGTCTGAACGTGTTTATTGGCCGGATGCCCTTCCTGTCACCCATACGGAGTTTCGCTCAGCAGTTAAATTCTCGTTGCCTCCAAAGAGAGAAAAATATCTGCCGCTACCTAGGATCGAACTCACAGCCTCCTGATTGTGAAGAGGAAGCTCCACCTCTAGGCCACCATGCCACTCTCGGAACATGGCCATCGTGTCACCCCCTAATTCTTATTTTCTTTAGACTACTAGCCAACCCCAAATCCTTCATATGTTTTTGATCATCTCAGTTGCTCTTCTCTGAACATTTTCTACAGCCTCAACATCTTTTTTGTAGCACGGTGACCAAAATTGGCTGCAGCATTCCAGGTGTGGCCTTCACTAGGGTTTTATAAATTCGGGGAGAACGAAGGACTCACCCAACAGCTCTGGCTTCTTGTTGGACAAGATTTGGTAATAGATGTGATAATTCCTCTCAGCCTTCAGCTGGAAGATTACTCTGGATTTTTCCAGGAGATCTAAGGTGAAGATGGAAAAGGGGAGAACGACAAAAGATACCGAGATGGTGAACGTGCAGAAGAACTTTCCAAGAATCAATCGAACGTTTGAGAATTTTGGAACGCCAACACTCACAGGTTTCTATGTCGGCTGATGCCAGCTTTCCGGTTGCTCCAAAGTGAATTCGGATGAATTTACCCTAAAGAAGAAAGGAAAAATGGATTGAGAACATATAGAAGTTTGCAAAAATTAAGCACGATGGTCTTGGTAACCCAAAGAGGCCAAACCTTTTTCTTTCAGCCCAACTTACAAATCGGGAGGAGTTGTCATTCCTCAAGGTCTTGGCGTTACCGAAGGCCTCCAGAGCTGGGTTGGCCTGGATGATTTGATCTTCCAAGGTGCCCTATAGATGGGGGTGGGTGAGGGGTGGAACAGGATATATCAAAAAGTTAAATCAGGGAAAATGGACCCAAGTTTATTACATGGAGATGTTTTGCATTGGGGGGAAAATTAATACACCCCAACGACTTTCTGAGTCTATTCACACAATGCAGGGAGACCCAGCAAGGCAACTAAACGTGTTCCAGCATGTTTTCCCTTCTTTGAACAGTTTAAATAGCCAGCGCTGGTGCAGCCCATCATCCAGATAATCAGAGTTGGAAGGGACCTTGTAGGTCATCTAGTCCAACCCCAAGCGAGAGACCCCACACCATTTCTGACAGATGGCAGTCCAATCTCTTCTTGAAAGTCTCAAGTGATGGCGCTCCCACAACTTCCGAGGGCAACTTCTGTTCCATTGGTTGATGGCTCTCACTGTCAGAAAGTTTCTCCTTGTTTCCAGGTTAAATCTCTCCTTGTTCAGTTTCCGTCCATTGTTCCTTGTCTGGCCTACAGACATTTTAGAAAATAGCTTGACCCCTTCCTTCTCTCTGTGGCAGCCCCTCAAATATTGGAAGACTGCTATCCTGTCTCCCCTGGTCCTTCTCTTCACTAGACTAGCCAAGCCCAGTTCCTGCAACCGTTCATTGTATGTTTTAGCCTCCAATCCCCTAATCATCCTGATTGCTCTTCTCTGTACTTTTTCTAGAGTCTCAACATCTTTTTGATAATGTGGTAAACAAAACTGAATGCAGTACTCTAGGAATGGTCTTACTAAGACTTTATAGAGTGGTATTAGTACCCCCCCTTGATCTCGATTGTATCCCTGTGTAAACGCAATTTAGGATTGCATTGGCTTTTTGGGCTGCTGCTGCACATGGCTGGCTCATATTTAGCTGGTTGTCCACTAAGGCTCCAAGATCCCTCTCCCAGTTACTGCTGTTGAGCCTGGTTTCACCCAGTCTATATGTGTACTTTTGGTTTTTCTTGCCTAAATGTAGGACTTTACTTTTCTCTACATTAAATTTCATTTTGTTAGATACGGCCCAGTGTTCTAGTCTGTCGAGATCCATCTGGATCTTGAGCCTATCTTCTTGGGTGTTAGCTATTCCTGCCAGCTTAGTATCATCTGCAGATTTGGTAAGTTCCCCTTCTATTCCCTCATCTAAGTCGTTAAGATATAGAAGAGTCCTGGGCCTAAGACGGAACCTTGTGGCACCTCATTGCTTACTTCCCTCCATGTAGACTTAGACCCATTAAGAACTACTATGCCTAACCAAAAAAAAAAAATTCATTTTGAATTTTGTCCAAATGGTTGTCCAATCTCTTCTTAAAATCTTCCAGTGTTGGAGCATTTATAAGCCAAACAAGCCAATGCAATCCTAAATTGTATTAATGGAGGGATACAATCCAGATCAAGGGAGGTACTAATACCAATCTATAAAGCCTTAGTAAGGCCACACTTAGAGTACTGCAGCCAGTTTTGATCCCCACACTATTAAAAAGATGTTGAAACTTAGAAAGAGTGCAGAAAAGAGCAACCAGGATGATTAGGGAACTGGAGACTAAAACATACAGTGAACATTTGCAGGAACTGGGCATGGCTAGTCTAGTGAAGAGAAGGACCAGGGGAGACAGGATAGCCATCTTCCAATATTTGAGGGGCTGCCCCAGAGAGGAGGAAGGGGTTAAGCTATTTTCCAAGGCACCTGAAGGACAGACAAGGAATAAAGTATGGAAACTGAACAAGGAGAGATTCAACCTGGAAATAAGGAGAAACTTTCTGACAGTGAGAACCATCAACGGATAGAACAGAAGTTGCCTTTGGAAGTTGTGGGAGCTTCATCCCCGGAGGCTTTCAAGAAAAGACTGGACAGCCATTTGTCAGAAATGGTGTGGGGGTCTCCTGCTTGGGCGGTGGGGGTGGGCGTTTGGACTAGATGACCTACAAGGTCCATTCCAAGTCTGTTAATTTATCTACCTAAAGTTCCCAAGGTTGAAAAACATTGAACTGGAGTATAGGTAGTCCTCAAGCATAGGGAATTCTGGGAGTTGAAGTCCATTCCTCTAAGTTCCTGTTGTGATTTTTTGGCACTGGCCCTTGCAGCAACTGAATCGGAGGAGGAGGAGGAGGAGGAGGAGGAGGAGGCATAGGAGTCAGGATCAGCATCAGGGCACCCTGGGAGCTTCTGAGGGGGAAGAGGGAATGGAGCTGGCAGAGAGAGAGAGAGAGTAGAGAGAGACAGAGACAGAGGCAGAGGCAGAGCCTGGGCAGTCCATCAGCCCCAGGTCTGGAGGTGGCTGATGAGGAAGGGGAGGAACTGAGTCCAGTGCCTGACGCACAGATGCGCAGAAGGCAGAGGAGAGGAGAGCAGTGGAAATCTATAGGCCGGTCCTTAGGACGGAAAATCCACTGCTGCTAGCGAAACCCTGGGGGGCAGAAACTAATAGATGTGGCAGACAACTATTCATCTTCCGGACGGACGGACTTGTTAGCCTGCGGTGAGAGAGAAATTTTTTACCGGGGCTGCCGGTGCCCCTAGTTAAAGGAATCTCTGAGTTCACTTCAGAGGGTTTGCCGTGTTTCGAGAGCTGGGTCAGAACAGTTCCCAAGGTTGAGAAACATCGAACGGGAGTATAGGTAGGCCTCAAGCACAGGGAATTCTGGGAATTGAAGTACCCTCTGTCTTAAAGTTCCCAAGGTGAAGAAACGCCACCTGATTGGACCCTCACCTTCCCCGTTGCAGCTGCTTGGTCTTTCTTGCTACGGTCCCCAATGGCAGCAATGACCGCAAAATATTGGATGACCCGCTTGGTGTTCACTGTTTTCCCGGCACCGGATTCTCCCCTACAGGTAGGAAAAAACAACACTAATTTCATTAAGGCCCAATTCACGGGACAGTGTTTATGTGAGCGGTAAGTAAGATCACCAGGCGGGGCCGGCTTCCGACAAGCAAGCTCAATGGGGGAAGGCCGGGATTCGCTTAACGACCGTGTGACCCACTTAACAACCACAGCTTTTCGCTTAGCAACCGTGGCAAACAAGTTGCAAAATAAGAGTTGGCTCAGGAAACCACTGTCTCGCTCAGGTACGGAAAGTACCCACTGCGGTCGTAAGTCGAGGACCATCTGTACATAAGCAATATTTAATTCAACCCAGGAGATATCAGAAAGCTAGGCTAGGTCAAATCTGATCAGTACAGGTAGTTCTTGACTTATAACAGTTCATTTAGTGACCATTCGAAGTCGCAACACCTCTGAAAAAAAAATGACACAATCATTTTTTGAATTTATGACCGTCGCAGTGTCCCCAGGGTCATGCGATTTACATTCGGATGTTTGGCAACTGACTCATATTTATGATAGTCGCAGTGTCCCGGGGTCACATGATCCTCTTTTACGACCTTCTGAAAAGTACAGTCCATGGGGAAGTCAGATTTCCTTAACGACTGTGCTCCTAACTTAACGACTGCAGTGATTCTCTTAACAAACGTGGCAAGAAAGGTTGCAAAATGAGACAAAATTCTCTTTAATAACGGTCTCGTTTAGCAACAGAAATTTTGGGCTCAATTGTGGATGTAAGTTGAGGACTACCGGTAATTGGATGGGAGACCATTCTAATCGTATCAATTATTGTCTTTTATATTGCATATTAATATTATATTCTATTGTATTCTATGATTTATGATGAATGTATTTTTATGATGACTATGATCATGATTTATCACTTATAGCTTTTATGTACAATGTGAGCTTACGCACCGAAGACTTGTGTGTCCAATCACACTTGGCCAATAAAGAATTCTATTCTATTCTATTCTATTCTATTCTATTCCATTCCATTCCATTCCATTCCAAATTCTATTCTATTCTATTCTATTCTATTCTATTCTATTCTATTCTATTCTTATTCTTATTCTATTCCATTCCATATATTCTATATTCTATTCTATTCCATTCCATTCCATTCCATATTTTCTATTCTATTCCAATCCATTTCATAAATTCTATATTCTATTCTATTCCATTCCATTCTGTTTCATATATTCTATATTCCATTCCATTCCATTCCATTCCTTTCCTTTCCTTTCCTTTCCTTTCCTTTCCTTTCCTTTCCTTTCCTTTCCTTTCCTTTCCTTTCCTTTCC